GGGAGCAGCTGCTATCGGCTAGCCGGAAAGTGAACACTGAAACAACTGCTAAGTCAATCATAGGGGGGCCGGAAGGCCAAAGATTGGTCGAGATTTAACTGATTTTAACACGCGTCTCGTCGGCGGCACGGCATTGTAAGGATCCAAAATCACAAAATCTGAAGTTTCTCATTCTAATTTTATCTGAGAGAGCCAGATGCAAGCAGCAAAAGAGCACCACCTAGCTTGCGAGCCATAGGTGGCCGACCCCAGGCCTAGAAGGTCCAGAAAAAAATAGTAAATACGGACTATAATGGGATCAGATATATCAGGAGAGTTTTGGGAAGGAGTGGACTTGACGTACAGTTGCATGCCATGGCGATCTGCTGGCCTGACGTTGAGTCGACGCTCATTCAGGAAGTGGCAGGACGCAAGAACAACATCAACAGCATCTCGGTCGGCGAAGGTCACAAATCCAAAGCCTCTGGATACACGACGGACCCTATCAATTATTACTTCAGCCTCTGTCACAGGGCCAAATTTGTTAAAGTAGGCTCTGAGATCCGAATCGGTGACTTTCGATTTCAGGTGACCAACAAAGATGCTTAGTGGGTCGTCGTCGTCATCAATTTCACCCCTGTCGGACTTGTTTGCTTTGGTACCAATGGAGGCATTTTTCGTCTCTTTTTCCCTGGGCTGAAGATCGCTGTAGATTATAAATAAAAGTAAATAAAACAATATGCATCAAATTATGTGCTAGACTATAATGCGTAATGAGCCAGAAATAATGTTAACTTTAACACCTTTTCCTATATTTTGTGACCTTCGCCCACAGAATAAGTCTACTTTAAGATCATCCGATGCCTACTATTCAAAGGATGACAGGTTTTATAAGATTATCTTAGTGTCCTAAAACGGTACCAGCTTGAACTTATCCACTAAAGATCAATCAAGATTTTTTGATCGTATCGCGGCGTTTTATTGCAAGACCTTTGAAGGTGATTCTCCTCAGTACTCAGAGCTTTCTAGTTAATTGTAAGTTATATATTTCGCGTTTGTTTAAACGCGAAATATATATATAAACAGTTCTACGAGTCCCGCAAACAACTTTCATGAGGAAATTTAACTTGGCAGTTTAGTGTATATCTGTACAGGTAATTTTGATCAACTGAGTGGATTTAATAATAAGAAGGACTTTGCTCTGGAAAACTGCCCTCTTATTTAAAGTTATTGGGGGAAATAGGCTCTCAATTTGGCTAAATCATGAATATGTTTATATTAAGAAATTCCCTATGCTATAAGGAAAGACAGGACGAAACTTTCTTCTAATATACACTGTGCTGTGAAACAATTCCATAATTAGTAAAAAAGGTAGAATAAAAATCCCTTCCAGTACTGGAAA